GGAGAGTTGCTAGAAAAACTGGAAAGGTATTAATCAGAAGTGGCTATAAATCCTCTGGAGTTTTGCTCTTATAAAACTCCTCAGAGAAAGTCTTGAAGGAAATGCAGGTCAAAGCCCAAAAAAGCTCTTGATCAGAGATTGCTGGAGGAAAATCTTCCCAGACGCCGTTTAATAGGCAGCAATCACCCCAGGAGTGGGGAAGCCAAGTACGCTTGAAACATGGTTGCAATTCCTAATAGGTCTTGTCACACTTAAGGCACTGCAAGCTCCATCCAACGAACAGCTGAAGCTAGCTGGCGATTCATAAAGCCAACAGTTTAAAGTTTATTATGATGAAAGCACTTAATGACAGCCATCGCTAGGGGCCCATCATTTATAAAGCTGTGCTGAGTATTAGACATGTAGCATGACCACCAATTTTATGTCACAATTGCTACCATAAAATGACCTTTGGTGATTTTTGCTGCATGTGGTGGACAGCTCTTCCTTCACATTAGTGCTCTGTGGCTTTCTTTGCAGACTATTATGCTGTCTAAAGCTTATTTGGCACTGTCGTGAGCCTCAACCCTTGTTATTACCCCGAAGGCCTGTCTGAAAAAAAAAAATCTCATGCTCTATTACGCCACTCCAATAATTTACAGTTCTTACCAGCCTAGGTTAGTGTAATATTTTAATGCAAATATGTTTTACCATTGCATTTTATTTAAAACGGTAAAAAAAAAAGTTCCCATGCTTCTGGCTAGGGTAATATCGCTTGATGGGAGTTCACTGAAATCAGCCTCTTATTCCCTGGTCAGGTCTCATTGAATGGGCACTCTTTTCCCTGGTCAGTTAAAAACACCTCCAGGAAAAAAAAAAAAGGTTAATTAAACTTTCCTTGAGAAAGAGATTTTTTTTTAAAGATCCTGTGTGTGATAAACCTACCTAAGGCAGAAACACCAATTCTTATTTCCCTACATCCAGTCCCAATGCAAATTTACATTTGAGTAACATTATTTAATTAGGATTCCATTTTCCAACCTGCTTTGTGTAGTTAGAAAATGTTTGAATACACAGCCACTTTACTGCTCTGATGTAAACCGCTGCTGAGAAAGTGGTCTGTCCATGCTACACCACCTTTAAATTGTGTATATAATTTTAAAATGATATAAAATCTGCTTCTAGTCCCTGAAAAAAAAATACAAGCATGGCACACTGCAATTTTGGAAGGATTTAAAATATGTGATTTCTGCTGGTACCTACTGTATTGGGTTTAATATAAAGCTTTTTTCAATAAGGTAAATTGTTACATGACAAACTCATCTTCCACCATTATCATCTGCTGTTTGTGTTTAACAACAGGAGTCCCGCTCTAACAAAACTGTTGTAATGGCTGTACAAATTACTCAGCTGAAAGCTTTTCACCAAACAAAACAGTATTAATCAGCAGTTCTTATGAAGGTGCTAATTAAAAACAATTTTCTTCCTCAGTTTGCAATACTAAAGCCATCTTCACTTGCACAGTTTCCAATATACAGTTACTGTATTTGCTCACTTCAGGCCCTCTATTAACTATTGAATCTCCTATTAGCCATTTTATTACATTTCTGTTTGCAAGCTTGTTGACATTTTAAAAGTCATAGTATGATCTGTTTTATCTATTAAAAAATGTATTAATTGAAAAGTCAGGGGGACAAAAAAGGCAAAATACAGACTCCAAATGAACCAACTTCCAGGGCAGAGAACACAGTGAGCATTTAAGTCACAGCCTGGGCAGTAAGGTCTCCGGGTAAAACGAAATCTGAGAATTAAAAGTGGCATTTCAGGCTTAATGGCTTGTTAAACACCAACAGGCTCCTTCCTAATTTGGAAATAGTCCACTCAGGAAAACATACTTGCCCTCTATCTAAATTCAGTTTCTAAGGAGACTCAGACTGACTTTCTAACCAACTTCACTCTCTGGGATACACTCAGCACAATTATGACATTTCATACAGTCTGAAATCAGCAGATTTTGATCTGAGGTGGGAGTGTACCTGGAATCTTTGGAGCCTAGATCGAGGGTCTAAACAGCCTTATCTTCCCTGTGAGTGTGTGAATGTGCATGTGTCTACATACACACTGACTCCTTCCCCTGTGTGGGCGTCCTGCCCCCACTCCCCTCTGTCTAATTAAAGGGTCCCACCAGACAATGCCACCAAATTGTTTGGCACAGATTGGAAACAAGTCAAATGCTGACTAAGCACAAAGACTCCACAGAAGCTGGGTTGAGGGAAGGGGACCGTCCATTCCTATTTAAAAAAAAAAAGTCTAACCCTTAGGAGAAGAAAGTATGCCCCACTTTGGGAGTAGAAAGAAGGAAAAAAAAAAAGCACCACCTCCACAATCTCCTGCCTAGGGTATTAAAACCAGGTTCTTCAACTGTCAAAAGCAGTTAACTAGTTTAAGCAAAGACACCTGGCTGTTGAAATAGGGCTCCAGAGGGCCACTAATCCTTCCATTCACTCAGTTAACTGCTGGATCCCCCAAATTGATTCAACAGGTATGCAGTGGTAAATTCAGCCCATACTGAAGCCAAAGGGAAAATCAGCAAGGGGCGGGCAGCTCTTCTCTGAAAACACCCGAGGAACCAGCCAGAAAAGCTTTTATGGCCCGACAAGTTTTCTGCTGAATACTGAGCACCTAAATTACCCTTCCCTAATGGAAGTTACATTTTCATGCTCAGTCAAAAAGCCAACAAAATATACAATTTATACAAAATAGCATCAACCTCTTAGGTAGTCTTTTCTAGCACTTTTATCCCAATTCAAAGCCTATGTCTTGCTATAAAATAAAATATATTTCTTATAACCAACTTGTATGTGGCTGTTCATATCACCGCGTTAGAACTGACCATGGGCGATCCTAGAACCGTTCTTACCTGCAACCAAATCTACTTAGTATGACAAAGGAGATTCATGAGTTTTATCAGAAGATACAGGTACACAGGGAACAGGAATATCGTAATTTCAAAGACAGGCTTTGTTTTGAAACAAACACATGCACAATGACACAGGCAATTATGGAATATGGGGCATTTCAGTCGCAATTATACACAACTTGGTCCTGATGCAGAGGAATAGCTCTTAATCATAAAGTTCAAAAGAAATGCAAATGGATAAACTTTCTAAAGCAGCTGTATTCCTCCCCCTCTCAATATTGGCATTTCATTAAAATTTGAGAAAATAAAAGCACTTTTCAATTATTCAATAATATACAACTTTAGCTTCTTACAAACTTCCAAATAGCCTGGACTAGTGACATTTCCTGGTGAGGATCCCATGAAAAGCAGATCGATGAAACCTTAACATTTCCTTCGAAAACCTTAACACTTTACAAAAGGTTCTCTAGGTTTTAATCACACAATTGGCATATTTCTTTACTAGGTGTCTTTTGGGAGCAACGACTCAATTCTTATACCCGGTCTCGAGCTTAGGTAACTGTACACGTCATCCTCAGATATTTTTTTTTAAACATGACTGGTTTACTTTTTAAGATACAATTTCTCCCAGAAAAATAAACACTGGTTTTCTACATCTACAACACACAAATGCAAACTGAATTCTTGCCGATTCATGTATTTTCATGGGAAATGAAATGATGGGGATATTCTCATGGTTCTGCTGCTCTACATTTTAAAAAAATAAGAACAGATGATCTTAGATGCTACTGCATGCGTGGGTTTTCTTTGTTTGGCAGATTTAGTTGCAGGTTTTACAGAAGAAATCATTTCTCTGTATTTTCAGCAATATAAATGGAACCAACCGTTTTGCCTTTTTAAAACATTCTGAATTCTAATTTTTAAACAAGAAAATATGAAGCCAGTGTGCAACCTATACAGTAGCCAAAGGAAAGCTGCCACTAGCTGAACTGCTCAGCTAAATGGCTGGTTTGCATTGCCCTGGTCTTTATCTAGCACTGAGAATAGACTGCTGTTTTATCCAAAGAGGAATAAATTGCTGTTATTGTGATGTTAGCCCATCACTTGGCATTGCAATTCAAGTTTTTGTGAGAAAGAAATGTATGATCTAACTGCGACTTGACCTATGCCTTCCAAGATCCATCTAGGTGCTCTAATGGAGCAGAAAAAGTGGTGAATACAAGGACATGCAAACTGATGGTGAAAAATTTGTTTGATGATAGAAGTGGGCAGAGAAGACATCTGAGAGTCGCTGTTTTGATGACAGCTAAGTTTGTTTAACATGCAAAAGGATTCGCTCCCCCAGTCTCCCACCTATCACTTTAATTGTATCACACTCAATCTGCGCTTTGCCTCCACTAAAGATAGGATATATAGCTAACCTAGTAATGACATTACCGCTAAAGTGGGCACAGATGATTCCTTACAGATAAACATCTGAATTGCCACAGAAGGCGTTAGAGCTTCTCGTGGATGCAAGAGGCAAGGAGAGGCTTGGGTTCCCTGCAGAAAAGTCATCCTGTCTCAGTCCTAGGTAGCACCTATTAAATGTTTACCATACACTTGCATCACAGCATATAACCATACACTGACTTTACATTAGATAATTGTGTGATTGAGTTTTTAAAAACTCCCCCCTGGTTGCCATTTCATTTTATCAATCATGTATTCAAAATTTCTCTGCAAAGGACCTGTTTTGAAAGAGGCCTGGAACAAGCAGTAGATTTGAGCCCTGATAAAGGCTCACTTTTCATTCATAGTCAGAGCCTAAATGTGCTCTTCTTGTACCTAAACAGATAATAAGCACTCAGCACACTCCTCCTCCTTGACACAACACATTGAGACTAATCACACATAATTGGAGAGGAGGAGCAGAGGGCTGGCCACGCTATTGTGTCCAGAGGACAAACGGTCAGTTTATGAGGCTTTGGGCTGATGTAGTCATTTCTTACACATCTATAGAGAAAAAAACATCCTGTTTGAAAGGGAAAAGAGAATGAGCAAGAGAGACAGAAAAAAAAAAAGAGTTGGCAGATTTAATACAATTAATTTGAGGGCGATC